GATTGGAACCCACAAGGCAAGAGATCAAGGGGAAGACCTCGTGGAACCTGGAGAAGAATCCCAGAAATCGATGTACAGAAAAGTGGGAAGACATGGAATAACATCAAGAGGCTAGCCCAGGATAGAGAAAAGTGGAGGGTGTTTGTCCGTGGCCTATACCCTGGTGCAGGGTGAGAAAGGCAATGATGAAGACGCGATTTAGGAATTCTTGGCTTTACTGTCTGTTCCGTAGTAATTCTTGTTGCGTCATCCAAGTTGTAACAATATTGAAATCCATTCCGCGCATCTCAAGATGAGCTAATTTGGAAGTAAAGCGAAACAGTTATTTGCTTTTTATAACGATTTAAGGCGGGGAACTCAACGCAACTTATACAGAAAAGAAGCCCATGATACGTGCTTTCGATTGGCGAAAAAAAATGTTCGCGCCAAAATCATGATACGGGGATCTGGCTCTAAAAGGACGATTTCCTACCTTTATGCTTGGACACCTCGGACTTGAACCCTGTGTTCGCTTCTATGACCGGGTTGGGTGGGGTCAGTTTGATCTGGACACTGGCCCCGAAGGTGAAGGTCCTGAGGAAAGTGATGCTACACACAGAGCGTGTCCGCCTCTCTGTGCGCAGGGCGTACGTCTGTGGCTTGGGCGTGCTGTTGGAGAACTTGGCGCTAAACAACACATGGGCCTGAGGTTTGGGTCGGTCTCTGGATTTGTCGTAGGTTGTCTCCCCTGGAATAATAATAATAATAATAATAATAATAATAATAATAATAATAATAATAATAATAATAGGCCTCAACCCAGATTAAAGTACACAGGTTCTGAGCGCTTTACAATATAATAAAATAGAAGCTTAAAACGTTGTATTCTGGCTAAAAAGAAAATCACTCCAAATACTCATCTTATTAATTTAAAAACAGAAACGACGTCAGCTGGCATTTGAATGAATCAAAGGATTTGATCTATCTTAAAGTACTTGGCAATGCGTTCCAGATTCTGAGGCCCTGATATTCAAATGCCCTTTCACCCATGTTTCAAATTTCGTAGATGGTAAAAGAAATTTCTTTTTTGTGAGCTGATGACTTTAAACTGCGAGTTGGAATGTATAATCTCAACAGATCTGATAAATATGATGTCGTATTATCATTCATGCATTTTTGACATAGGGTGGCCAACTTGTACACAATTCTATTCTCAAAAGGAAGCCTATGCAATATCTGCAAAAGAGGTGCAGCAGAAAACACACAGTCAGGAACAAGGGAGGCAGTGAAAATGGTGAAATGGTAGGGGTTTAACGTCTCTATCAACACTATTATGTTATTTAAGAGACAGGACCTCCAAGTTTAACTTTCATCCCCGAAAGGACAGAGCTGAATGGGAATTTCGTGTAGTAAAGTGCCTCTCACAGGGACACAACGTCGGACTGAGCTGAGGTTTAATCCCCGCACCCAAGGGAAGGTGGGGGAGGGGGTGAAAAATGTTGAAATGGTATAGGTTTAACGCCACTACCAACACTATTAGGTTGTTTAAGGGGAGGGGGGAGTTCTCAAATATAATATCATAAATCAAACCTGCTCTATTGTCCTCCTGTGCAAGACAGTCACCTGTACAAAAAGACCACTTGCAATTTCCCCTCTTCCATTTATTTCACAATATAATGACACTATCTCAGAGACTAATATGACCACCTATGTCTCTATGACGGCCTCTTTTCTCTTTGACAATGAGTGGTTGTCTTTGCCAATTTTGACTGTACAATCCAAATTGTCCAAGACAGCCACCCATTGTCGAGAAGAAAAGTGATTATCCTAGACAGGTGGACATCTTTGATGGTGCCATTGAAAGGGGAAAAAAGCCGCTTTCAGAGGGCTTTCAGAAATGTTGACACAGTGTAAAAAAAAGGCCGCATGGGATGGGGGGGGGGGGGAGGTTGTTCAAATGACTGTCTTGGACAGGTGACTATAAGTGTTGTTCAAAACTTTGACTGTACGTCGGTCCTTCAGAAATCTTGACACAAACAGATTTTTGGTCCCAAGTCATTTTGTTAGAAACACAGAGAGAAACATAAGATAGCTTTGTTCAGATTTCCAAATGTCGTGTAGGAGGACAAGGAGCTGCTCTGAGGATACTACTAATACTACTAAATACTAGCCTGATAATTTTCAATTTTTAACTCTACAACAAAAATGGTATTTTCTTTAGGGTTTTTTACGTTAGGTGTCTTACCGTAATGAACGTTCATATGGTCCCAGTTGATTTCTGGAGTCTTCAGATCTGCGTGTTTCTTCTGGTCCGAGTCGAGAAAATCCTCGGCAAAATCCTTGACCAACTGCTCCAGGTCAAGAAGATCAGACGCCATGATGTCAAACTGAAAAAAATGTCATTGTCAATTGGTCGTTTTTTAAGGACAAGCGGGCTAACCCAGATTTCGGGGGTTTCCAGAAATCCAGACCTACACCAAAAGTGGGCATTGCCCTACCTATACTATAGGAGAAGTTTGGTTTCACTGGTTAAAATATGTGTTTGGTTATAAAGAAAACTCTCCTTGTCTTTTAAAGAGACTGAATAAGGGTCCCAAAATTTTAACTTTGATTTTCTCAAAATAGCATTTATTGGGATAGCCCCCTTGTGTTTAAAAGCGACCAATTATTTACCCCTGCTTCGAGAAAAAGAATTTAAACTTATAGGAGGCGGGCTGCTTCGGACTGTCAGGTTCAGGCTGTCCAGTGTCTGTGGTGTAGTCGTTAGATATTTTGCCGGCGCACGCAGGAGACCCGGGTTCGATTCCCGAGTGTGTGTGTGTGTGTGTGTGTGTGTGTGTTTGTGCGGGGGGCGGGGGATTTTTGTCCAGTATCTCAATTTATCTGCTGGGACGCTATATCCCTCTCAGTCCGGATTGTCTCTGATAGACAGTGTTGAAGCCTGCCTTCTAAATGATCTAAATTGTGTCGATGGCAGCGTAAAACACCAACTTATTTAAACAAACCCCAGGCCAAGTAGGATGTAACATCCCAGCTGACAGACAGAGATACTAGATTTAAAAAAGAAGGACCTTCATCATTCGGGAGACACACTGAGGTCTCCTTCTTGCAGCATCGTAGAGTTTGTCAAGTTGCGAAGGCAGGAGACCCGGGAGATGTGTGTGTGTGTGTGTGTGTGTGTGTGTGTGTGTGTGTGTCTCT